GTTAAAATCATTCAATTTTTTCAATTTTTGCTGAATTGATATTTATCAAACTCTGGATACTTGTGTTTAGTTTTGGACTCAATGGATAAATGCCAAGGAGAGCTATTTCAATTATGTAGAAAGCAGAAATTCTTTATGGTCAATTTACAGATATGTTAATGTTATTTTTTTGTAATTCTTAATTTTATGTAACAAAGATTAATTGTTCATGGTCATAGTAATTGATATTTACTTTAATTTTAAACTGTAATATATTTCTTTTCACAGTTTGTTTAATATAGGTAATTAGAAAGATCATGCCATTTTCACTATTTGAAGTATTCTATTGACACATTTAAAGTTTACTTAATTTTAAAGGGGGTTAAATTGTAAAATGGGGTGTGAAAAAACCCCTGTTAATTCGATTTTCAACTGTTTATTTCATATTGTTTGTCATTTCTAAGATTCCATTATCTATTACCCATCTATGATATATCTATGGCCCTTGATGTTATAAAATTGGGCTGCCATAATCAATTATTTTTTGTTAAAATTCAACAGACAACTTCATTATTTTCAGTCAAAAATAATACAAAAAGAAACATAACGTCTGGAAAATTATTATTTCTGCATCATATCTTCTTAAAGATAACAGTCATTCTGTTTTATGACGTTTACTTAAGAGCTCCTGATCAAAGAAATGTGAAGCTTAAAAGTTCTAGTCATTAGTTTTTTTCTTTCAAATATTTAACAACTTGCAAAGATCTGAATATCTAACGAAATTTTGTAATATGAAGAAAGAAAATTAAAATGCTCAAAAGACCTTTGCATAAAAAACAGACCGGGAGCATAGGAAAATACAAAGCATTTAACATCAGAGGTTGCACCAGGTGTCATGGATGAGTGAGCACCTCCTATCCGTTGAATACACACGTCCCGTGGTCATTGCCATGATTAGAAAAAAGAAACAATCCGTAAACATTACAGTGTGAAAATAATAACCTTACAATTTGTATATGAAAAACAGTCAGTCAAGTTGATTATAGATTTGATTAGCTGGCAAGGTCATTGTAGCATCCATAAATTTTTTCTAATATTGATAAAAGACAAGACTCTAAATATTTCTTGTACCAACTTATTGATTTTGATACTTACGCGTCCAAATCTAAAACAGCGATTACATCCACTTGATGTGTAGACAGCTCTTTAATACATATCTACCCCGACCTCTCGGAAATGGCCAGCGAAGAAGCTTCATTGCTCACCTGAACACCACTTTATATTATATTTCAAAGATTATTTATTTGTGAATGATCAAAAATTTACTTGAAAAAATTAAGTTAGGGATAATAAGTGCGATTCAATCAGCTTTTTAATTGAAACCCTTTGGGTTAATTTGTAAGGCATCAACTGTCACATTATATACTATTGTTTAGTAGCGTCAGTATTCAAAAACAATTTTACGAATTAAACAAACATGTCATTTAATGTCATTACTTGTATAACCACAAAACTAGAAGTCAGTTAAAAATATCACCAGTTTCACTATATAGAAACATAAAAGTGTGTACTTATATAAGTCACTATTTTATATTTTAAACTCTGTTTCGGGCCAATGAGAAACATTGTTTTTTGTATCAGAAAATCAGTCACAAAGTTTGAAAGGAATCCATCACAAGGAACCACAAAGTGTGTGGCATCCTTCTTCCATCACGATTAAGGAAATATTTGAACTTTTCCGACCTTTTTGACATTCAATGGTCATAAAAAAGCTTCCTGTTTCTTACACTGATGTTCCATAGGTGTTGGAGGAGCAGGGAGTTGTTTCCTTGCATAGTCAGAAAAGTCAAGAAATATTTTTCTGATAAATGTATCTAATAATATGATATATTGATATATGTGCACATCTTGTTTTATCCGACTCAGAAAAAAGGCTTTGTTACAATAGATGCTTACAACTTGACTGAACCTAAGAAAAATTAAAAAAGTTGATAAAAGAAAGATTTAAACAGCTTCATCTTAAATCATTTTTTTGCAATTTCTTAAGTCGATGCAATGACCTTGTCATGCAGCAAAAGAAAAAAAGAAACAAACCAAAACAAAAACACTGTTAAATTAAGCTGAATGCTGACTGTTGGTTTCATTGAAGTAGTTGAGAATCATTTACACACTGAATTGTCCAGTCATTTTTCTCCATTATTCTGATAAAGACAAGAAGTGCTCGTAGGGGGACTAATTTTCTCAGTAGCACTTGATTTCAGTACATATATTTTTAGAAGTCTTTAATTACTAGATACTCCAAATTTATATTGTTTCAAGGAACTTTGAAGCTTGATTGTGTTTTTTTATTTTCTTATTTTACAGGCAAAAGAAACATTGCATCTTTTATTTTTTTTATCTGTGTAATATATTTAAAAAGAATTAAGGGACGTAAAATATTAAATTTCGTGTGCCATATTGATGAAAAAAAAATATATCCGTTTTTTTTCGCGATGATCTATTTTTGCGCATTTTTTTTCGATCATTTTAATTCGCAAAATATAAAACACGCAGAAATTATGTCAGCTATAATGTGACATAAAAACATTACCATTTTAAATTAAAAAAATCTTCAATCGTAAAAAATAACACGCAAAATAAAAACTGTACTAATCTACCCCTTTTTCGCAAAATTTCCAACAAAAAACCGGATATACGGTAGTTTATTTAGAAAGCAAATAAAAACACTTGGCTTGAATAACAGATATTGCTTTTTAAAAAGAATACTTCTTAAAGGATGGTAGATCAGTTGGTAGAGCTTGCAACATGATCTGGAAGTGGCGGAAAAATCCCGGCTTTGCCTTAATTCGATAAAAAGTAAATAGCAACAGTTCCTTCGTCTCAGTGCTCAGCTCTTTGAGGAGAAAGTTACGGGTTTATTCGGATGAAACCTTAAAAGCCAAAGACCCATTTCATGGCATTCATTGGTACAATTAAGATTCCTTACTGTTTAATTGTCCTGGGTGCCAAGATAGGTGACGTCTCCATATTAGGGAACATTTTTCAAATCGGACGCAAAATAGATACATGTATACAATTATTCAATTAAAAGATGCAAATGTGGAAATGTCACTTATTATCTCTCCTAAAGGGACCGAAACATTTTTTTTTACATTCATGCCAGTAGATCTTTTTTAAAAAAAATTCGTTTGATAAGCTTTTGGAAAAACATTCTTTTACAAGTTCATACAAAGTTTATAGCAATAAAGTATCAATCACAATTGAAGAGCCATAATTATGGCGGGATTCTAATCCTAACTATCAATTAATAGCCAATCAAATTATTCCTAAACGGGAAGTCACATTGCTTGCTAATTATTAATGTATTTTTAAGTCGAACCATGGTGATTTATATTTCAGACTGAAGAATATTACATCTTCGTGAAAGAATCTTGTCCGAAATAATTAAATCTACACATTTCTTCTTCTTTTTCCCTTGTGGACAGAGACACAGAAAATATCAATTACCTTTGAAAAAAGGATAACTTGAATGTCATATTTTAGATTTTATTATTTTCTCATGACATGAATTAAAATATGCTTATTTCTTTACAATTTGAAAAGCAATTTGAACATGTTAATACCTTTACATCCAATCATTAAAAACATAGTTGATGTAATAGTAATAAAAGCAAACCAGTCCATTTCGAAATCCAAAAGGAGTCGAAGAAATTCTTTCTTTTGAATTTGGTTACCATTTATTTTCCCATATGTAATTCCTAGAGAGAAAAAAATGTAAAACTTATAAAGAGTGTAATGAAATATTTAATCACAATTTCTTAAATATTTATAAAATGAAAACATCAAGTACTTTTCTAAAAAAAAAATTACATGATAAGTATTTGAATTTTTTTTTATATAAATAGTGTTAGTCTGAGTGAAGTTTATTGTTGGGTGTTACTTTTAAAAGTAGTTTACTATAATAGATTAACTTCATTTTTTGAAGTTCTCCAATCCAACATATTCTCGTGGGTGTTATATTCTTGATGTGGCTGTTAAGTAGAAAAACAAAGTCATTAGATTATAAATTCATATGACCAAATTATAATAATTTATTATAAATTGGTCTTAAAATTGTATCTTCAAAAATAATTATTTGTAAATAACATGATAGTAAAAATAACCACTCCTGTATTAAAATAGGAACATTTTTAGTTACAGTGTAGGTGGAATTTCATGTTTCAAGCTTCATTATTCTAAGTCAATTAAATAAATAAACATTGTACAATTCGTATAATACATAAATAATACAATACAGAAAATAAAAGATAATAGAAAAGGTAAAAAATGTTACGTAAAGTACAATAAAGGGAGGATAACTTCTGCTTTTGCACTAGAATTGTAAATATCAAATCGATTGCTTTTTTTATATTTTAAAAATTAAGAACTTTTTTTATTATATACCTAATGTGTATCACCCAATTTTACTGTAGATTTAAGGCAATCACGTGACGTCGTGATCTGATTTTCCGGATCACCAACATGTTGTTTTCTAAATCCATATCACCACTATCTGAAACTGATGACGTAGTACGCAGAAATATGACGTTATTTTTCTTGCGCGTTAAAAAGTCCCTTGTAATTATGCGTTGTTTTATGGATAAATGTTATGCAATTGATCTATAAAGTTTTCTTTTGCTATATTTTGCTAGTTATCAGGGGGTATATAATAAATTTATCATTATAACAGAAACCTGATCCGAAGAGCCGTATCACGTCTCGTTGACAGGCGCGGATCATCAGATCAAACTCGACGCTTCGCGTCTCCTTTGATCTGATGATCCGCGCCTGTCAACTCGACGTGATACGACCCTTCGGATCAAGTTGCATGTTACAATTAATTTATATAAAGCATAATAACCACAAGTATATCTCCTTGCAAAGAACATATCTTTATATCAAACTGCATTCGACATCAATTCTGATACAAATTACCTCTTTTCCATTTCACGCCTCACTCACCCACAAACAAACAAACATCATTAACTTCTAGATCCTCTCCAGCTCCGTTGTGAGGGGATAAAAATGTAGGTGACGCATTAAATGTCAATATCAGTCCCACATTGTTTTTAAAAAAGGTATTTAAAACCTCTGAATCCTCTGGAAAAAGACGAAGATAAGGAGAAGAAAGTGAAGGAAGAATTAAGAGAATTGAGGAACAATGTATGTGGAGGGATGGCCTTGATTAATCTCATCTGGATATCAGTGAACTTCCTGTTCCAATTGCGCAGACCAACAGTAGTCACTTTTGTAAAACTGGTGAGATTGCTTAGTTTTAGTTGTGTCCCTTTAAGTTGCTCCTCGGCTAAAAGTACTATTTAGTGAGTCTTTCAGCTTTATTTGCATAACAAAATTTATCAAAATAACAGTTGAACGACAATATTTTTTTTTCAACTTAATTTGATTAAATAAAACTAATTTATGACTTTTCATATTGCAGGAAAATGGGGAAGAAATAAAAACTGATATTCTTGGCTTATTGTTCATAATTTTCTTCACCTTGATTCTGCTTATTCAGTTCTGTGGTATGATTATGCACAGGTTTGTATTTTTTTTTTGGAAAAAAAATTTTTTGGAAAAAATGAAATACCTGTACATTTAATAATACGCCAAAATTAATTGTATAACAGAAGACAGCAAATTGACGTAAACGATCAAAATACTTCAACCAATTGATCAACGTTTTATTTCAAAACCTAAACTTTCATAATGATTAAAAGAGTGAATAAGAGTGAAAGATCTGCAAGTTTATGCATGTAATAAAAACATTGCAATTTACTTATAAATATTTTCAGATGGGGGACATTTTTACACCTTGTAGCTATTACAGAGATCCCTAACCCTTTTAAAAATAAAAGAAGGAACAATGTAAACGAAGCCAGAAGATTTTGTAAAGTCGTACAGGCTGGTCAATTCGTAGAAACTTCAGAGGAAGAAAGGATGAAAGAACAGAAATATATAAAGCAACAAATTTTCAGCCTTCAGGAAACAGGTTCAATGAAGCTTTAAATCCGAGGATGAAATATCTTCTCTTTACGGATGAATGCATATATAGAAGAAAAAAATCATACTTATTTATTTCTTATTGCAGGAAGAAAAGATAATGTTGGACATCATGAAGAAGAATCGCAAACAAATCTCGCTTCGATATTGCCATACACTCAAAACAGGAAAAGGGATCTTATTTACATGGGGGCAACTAGATATAACAAAAATACTAGTAAGAATGAAGAAGCGAAACGAGTCAGATTTGCGGGAACTGCAGAAGCTAAGCGAAACCTTCGTGAAACTTTAATGCGAAATAGAGGAATGGAGACCGAAAACGTTGATACACAGCAAGGAGAACATTTTGCGTATCGTGGAGGACTTATGCAGCGAAGATTGTCTAGGTCGAAGAGGGAGGCAGCGAAGGCAGAGTATTTCTAAGCGGAAAGAAGCCTTTTCATTAAGGACACAAATTAAGAGTGGACGTAAAATTAACATAAAAATCCGACCCGGTATAATTATTAAATTTGGTCGAATAAAATTTAAATCACTATATTTTTAATCTATTTATCAATTAGAAAAAATATTAATAAATTGTGTCATTAATTGGAGTTTTATGCAAAACAATTATATGTTCATGTATTCAGCTTTCGCTCATTGTATGTTTTTTTACCATAGCATCTATCGACAAATGAAATGTTGGCTGACGTTTATCAATCGAATTGTTAGACCAGTATTTTTCAATGATATGCCTAGGGATAATTATTTAACTGTTTCAACATGTGTTTTCAGAGAGTTTTTTTTTTGCTCTGATAACGTTTTCTGTCTGATTGGTTCTTATGCAGAAAAACAGTTGTTATCCTTTTATATCATTCATTTGTTAGTGAGATAAACCATTAAAATATACCTACTACCGTATACCATGAATAATTCATTTACTTCTATGTAATAAGCCCTAGTACCTATTCTAAAATGAAATGCTCTTACATGTAGCTAGTTAAGGTTGCAATCTGCTCTTCAAATGTTATAAAGAATTACATACATTAAGTGATTTTGTCAAATTATATCATCATATTTTCATATTCAGAACTTATATTTGATTTGTTTATATCCATTAAAACGTAAAGTATCTTAGGAATTAACGACAGGATTGAATTGTAAAACACCACGAAACCGTGGTATGTTTGCAACTTTTGATCAAAGGGTTAGCCGAGAATTTCTTAGCATGTGAGTTGTGTCTCTAGTAAAAAAGAAAGGAGTATTGCAAAGGAATATCCGGTCCAGTTTCGATAAAAAAACAAAGAAAAAACATCAAGAGAAAGAGAAATGTAAGCAAAAGCAAAAATAAATATGTCTGTTTAAAAAAAAGTCTTGGGTTACCCTCGACCGACCGACTTCCTAAAGAAGGTCCTATATTAAATTTGAGAACCTCTAGATTTTAAAAAAAAGCAATGTAGAAAATCAGCATTAAGTTTAATATTATCTTCTTTACCATCCTAACCAATTCTATCATCCTTAGTCTAAGTAGGGCAAAAGTAAAAACTAAAAGTACGTTTGCGGATTATGTCACAATTTGTTATAGTGGCGTTGAAATAATCCCTCGCTGTAACTAAGCTTTGAAAAAGAAGATAGAGTACGTCCCTAACAAAAATTTACTATAGTTAACTATAGTTTACTATAGTTAACTATAGTGAAAACTTTGACACTTTGATTTACTATGAAACTTTGCTCTAGAACTTTTTTGAAGATTTAAAGCCTTAATATTTCTAAAATTACATATAAATGATGTGTTTGCTTGATAAAATATGTAAATATACAAGGAATACTTCATTTTAATTTCAGAAAAGTATTTGTAGGAAGTTTAAAAAATAAAATATATCTATCTGAAATCCATAGTAAAAATACTTTGATTTACTATAGTGAAAACTTTGATTTACTATAGTTAACTATAGTTAACTATAGTTAACTATAGTTTACTATAGTTAACTATAGCAAACTATAGTTAACTATAGTTAACTATAGTACTTTTTTGTTAGGGGTGCAAACAAGTTTATTAATCTGCTCAACAACAAATAAAAAAAAAAAAACATCTGCACAAAAACACATTCAAAGCACGCCCACCCACAACATTCATACAAACAAAAAAAATCAAAATAAACAAAACAAACAAAAATTAATAGCGTCTATACACCGAATTAAATATTGTCAAACCCGACCAGACAAATGTTTTTGACACATGCAAATATCCGCAGATCTTACTATAAATGTGACCCAATACGTTATCGTATTGTTCGTTTAGTTCGTATATATACACACTGTCTTAGCACGTAGGATTTCCTCTTACACTGCAGTAGCATCACGTCGGGTTCATTATTCAGTACACATAATACTTTAATAATAATAAATAATAATTTTACGTAAGAAAAATATATATAGCAAAAAAACCTAACAAGTAAAATTCACCGTTGAATTTTGGCATGATAGGTAACAATTACATACATATACACATGGTAATGTTAAATACGCACGTTTCTTGTATTTGAATGATCTCACAAGTAGCACCGGCTTTAAAACAGACTATTTATTTCAACCCCCCCCCCCCCAAAAAAAAAATGAAAACTTTATTACTATCCGCTGTTTCATGACTTAACAAATAAATCAGTACCGTGGATACAGCTAATATTTACACATGAATAATTTTCCTCTATTTTCTCTTAATACATCATTTTAAAAGGTTGCTTTTGATATAACAGAACAATATTACAGCGTTGAGTAATTAGATACTTTTTAATCAAATTGTACCTATTTATATCATAATTCAAAACGTCTTAACATTCCTATGATAAAATTTCCCCAAATTCTTACTTAGGATTTATTTTAGCAAATTTCCCCGAAATAAAGTACATATAATACCTTCATTTCAATGATGTTAACGTCATACCGTTACACAAACCGTTACAATTTACACGTGTACATATAACGTCAAAGTCATGACGTTACATTGATTACGCTTGAAATCAATACTTATTTCAAACGACTTTAAAAAGAAAACTAGAAAAGATATAATTAAAAAATAAATTGTTTTATTACCCACAAAGTCTACACCATTACTGAATAAAATTTCATTATTTTTTTGTAGCAGGGCATATTTTGTCCCTTCGTGGCTTTAGCTCTTTTCAGTCCACACAGGAAAGCTTCCCAAACACTCGCAAAACATTCAGGCCTAATGCACACGGATATACCTTTTGCAACCACACAGGTCATATGTTTTCTATTGGACATTTTCAGTTGAGTGAACATTTACAAAATAGCGACTACGGATCTTCAGTATGGAGAGCATCATGCGCAAAAAATATTTTATGTAAAGTACAATGTATATAAAGTAGTTTAAACTGCTATTTTTACACCCTGAATGGGATATCGTCAGTTATACCTAAGATTTTTTTTTAATATGATCTACATAACATATTTAGATGAAACTTACATACATGTAACGTACATGTTGCCTTCTTAGAAATATAGTTGGGCTAATAAAATAAAATTGTTATGGGAATCCAAGGCCTATAAAAACTATTCCAGTTTGGGGGCACAGCCAAGCATTTCGATGAACACTATTAAGAAAAAATAATTCAGGTTGGTAGCAGCGTTTTTTTTAAGTTGGTGGGGGATAGAACAGTTACAATAAAATTGGACTAGCTCGAAAAAAAAAACCTGACAAGTAAAATAGGTTCCAATATCTTTCACTACTAAATTTTATTCATTCACTACAACAATACCCCATTCAACTTTACTTCCAAACTCAAAATAGCCTGAGCCGATGCTGATAACCTACATGTACTTGCAAGATTTTTTATATTATTTTCAAGGGATCAGAAATATTGTGGTTCGATAATATGTAAAGAATATTTTCATATTATTTAGTAGTATTCTGATTTTGGCATTATGTATTTTGTGCATATTTATACAGGATATTCTGTGTAATACTTTTTTTGTTTGTTTTAAACCATTAAGAAATGCAGAATCGGATGTATCTATTAACCATTTTGATTCATCAAATTATATCATTTGGTGTATTAGTTATTTCATTTTGGCACAACATGGTTTCCACACTTCTTTATCCATAGTCTCTGACAACTGTAGAAGTTCACCCAACCGAAAAAGTCCATAAGGAAGGACACATCTTTTCAATTCTAAAGCCTGCTCAGAACTCACACGCAAGTGAGTTAGGGCTACATACGGAGGTTTCTATGCAAAATATCTAATTGAATTTCATAATTGCTCTACCTAAAGCACAGAAAATATTAAGACTTATTTTCTTATACATTCTTGGTACCAACGACATGTGATAGCCAGTACACATTATGACGTCATTTTATAACATCATCAATCTCTACCACACAAGTTTATAAGAAACATCAACAAAATCGCTTCGGCGCAAGGGCATACCTTAATTTGTTTAACAGAAACAAGGTATAAGAAGACGCAGGATATTCTGAGGATTTAAGATATTGCTGCACAAATGTCGGCACTAGAATTGTTTATGTTACCATTTGTGCAGTTTTACGTTTAAACAGGGTAAAAATTCACAGTCCAGTGTAAGTTTCCTAAATATTAAGTCGATTGAGAAAATGCATAGGATTTGTGCAGCAATTTTAATAATTTTATAAATATTCTTCTTAATGTTATACATTGTTTATTTTAGATTAGATAGGATATGCCCTTGCACCGAGGTGATTTTGTTGATTTGATTTATTACCTTGAATGGCAGAGAATAATGACGTTATAATATGACGTCATAATGTTCACTTGCATTAATAAACTGTGGGTACCAAGTATGTAAAAGAAAATCAATTTGAACTTTCTCTGTACATAAAATGTTAAATATATTAATTTTTATTAGCTCATTTTCATAGAAATATTCATATTTAGCCTTAACTCACTTGCGCATTCCGACAAATTGTAAAAACCACTCTACTAGCGTGACCACATATCCTTAAGGACTATACGGTGTGATTATATGAAATTAAGGAACAACATAACTAACATAATAAATTTAAATAAAAATTGTGACGGACAAAGACTTCCTTAGTACCGATGACCAACTGAAAAGTTAAAGGCTAATTGTTATGAGGTGTTCTCATACTGAAACACAAAAACGCAAACACAGCGTCCCTTGGTGGACGCTCCAGTGTTTTAACCACATTTTAATTCCATTCAAGTGGGATTTAGGCAGGGACTATATTTTGTTGCAGAAGGTTTTTAAGAGAAAAACATCATTTTTTGTATTTTGAACTATATACAGTACTGCTAATTTTACATTCCTTTTTTCCATGTTAGTTGCACACAAAGCTGCTTTTGCAGTGAAATGTGTTATACTTGTTTTGAAATATCTATAGAATTAGTTTTTATGCATTCTTTCGACGAATTATGGAAAATAAAGTAAATATATTCTGAAATTCCAGAAAAGAAGCCAAATGTGCCTATTAAACTTAATTTTTAACAATTTTAGTAATGTCTTTAATTATACAGTCATCATATACCTTCAGTCTAGACGTTCTCTTTTCAATATTTTAGAAAGCTTTGACCCATCTGCTTAAATTCTACAAACGTTTGAGACATTAAAGTATTTTTGTTGCTTATCAAACTTTCAATGCCCCCCAAAAAGATCACATTGTGTGAGTGCAGAAAAGTTAAATAATTGATTATGAGCAGCAATTATAGAAACCATGACTTAGTCATTATTTTTAAGTGTCTTTTTTGAATAGACTTCTAGTTTATTTTGTTCTATGCTTTCTTTGGAGAAAACTATTTGAGGGAAAACGTTGAAGATGTAATTTTGATTAAGACACAAATTTAAGTGCAAAAAGATTATATTAAATGCACTGTAGCGCTAAAAGAAGTTTGATCAACATATGTTGATTTGATTTTTAATCAAGCTATGTGTATCGAATTAAAAATATATTTAAAAAAAAAACAGTTTATGACTTTAATAATCAAGAGCCAACCTCGCTAAATTGACTTTGACTTTTTTATTTAGCATTTATACATTTAGTTTAATAATAT